CTTTCTATGACTCCATGGCTCCATCAGTTGTGTAGAACAGCAGTCCCCACTCTAAACAGCTGAATGAAGGTGGAGTACTGTGCCCGAAACACGACGATATTAGCCACATCAATGTCACTGTCATGTGACGCTTCCACTACCAGGCAAATACTTACATGGCCTACAGATGGGTGGAGGCAGATGGCCCTGGCTCGTAGCCTGTAAGCGCTGTGACAGTAGTCACTGTGAAGACTGGAAGACTCCTAGCGTGAGAATGGAGGACACAATGTGCCCACTGGGGTGTCTCAGTAAGTAGAGTCCACGTGTGGGCATTTGGAGGCTGCCGTAAATTCTTTGAGTTCACTCGTTTCCTCTGATGCATGAAAATGAATTTAAAAAATAAAAGAACATCCAGTGTCGAAGGGTTTCCTTTTTCTTTTCTTGACTATCGGGCCACCAGCCAATGGCTGGGAGCACTGGGCCAGTGTTGTGGTGACTGGCTGGTTCCAGGAATGATAAGTCACAGGGTACAGCACAGGGGAATCAGTTCACGGTGTCACTCATCCGGAAGAGGGAAAAGCAAGGAGGGGACAAAGGGGTAAATGGCTCCACCCTTGAGCTGCAGTTGGTCACAGAATTTATCACCATGACTTTCAGAGTAGCCAGTGTCTGCTGACCTCTGGCTGCCTGGCGTCTTGAGAGGCCTGTTGACATGGATAAGTGATGCATGGGCCTGAAGCATACTTGGCCTTCAACTCCAGGACATGGCTGCAACCCTAGCCTGAGCCTTCCTGCCTCTCACGTAAAGTCACGCTCAGGATGCCTGACTCAGTGTGGTGTTGTGGAAAACGGCTCTAGAAAGCCCAGTTCTGGGCACAGCTCTACAGTAACTAGTTATGCCCTCAGGGAAGCCATCTTGCCCCTCCGGACTCCAGGGTCCTCATGTGTAGACACTCAGCTAGGGGCAGATGTGGCTGCTCCCAGGAGCTGTTCCAGTTGCAATATTCCACGGTTCTACTGTTTCCCACCTGAATCATGATCAGAGCAGGTATCATTTACTGCTGGCTTGTTAGGTTCCAGGTTCTATGCCAAGTATAGCACATGAGAGGTCTCACTGGGTCCTCACAATCAACCTCTGTAGTAGGTGTTATTATTACTCCCATTTTATGAAGGAGGGAACCGAGCATTCTGGAGGGTCACAGTGACGGTGCTGGTGTTAGTCACCATGCTCTATGTTATACAGAATTGTCTGTTTTTGAATTGCAAGGTGCTGTTCGTCTTATGGATTAAATTATCTTTCCCATTGTTTCCTTTCTCATTACTTATTTTCCTATGGGAACCATGAAAAAAGTCAAGAGCTGGATGGGGCGGGTCTGCTTTGGTGTGAGTGTCAGCCCACTAGATTAGAAAGAGGGGGTCAGCACAAGCTCATGCAGCTGGAGCTCTTAGAAAAGAACAGAGGCCCAAGGAGCAGGAGGGAGGCACAGACCCGACCACCAACCAATGTCTGTGTAGGCAGAAGGTGCTAATTTGGAGGCGGCAGGCCTGAGTGTGAGGGTATTGTTCCTGGTCTAATCCTGTGACATCTTTAGGCCTTAGTACCTCATTAGTAAAATGTTAGATAATGGATATACATTATAGAGTATTGAGAGGAAACATTCAGAAAAGTCCTCTGTGAACCTTCCTGAATGTCACTCCTACCCCAGGCCCGAGTATAAGGTTTGGCACAAGCACGGTATTGGACAAATATTTGTGGGCCATGGGGTGGCACCGTGATTTTCTGGGTGTTATCCACCTAACTTGGGTTGTTACAGAATATTAATAAATGCCTAACTGGTCTTGGGGAGAAGATGGCTCTCTGAAACACAGCCTAAGGCTAGTCGGAAACGGTCTGCTGGCAAACACTCCTGAAGAAGATATTACTAATCATGGTGTGCATTCCACACAAGATCTATCCGCTTTAGTAACTGCATCGAGGGGGCCTCAGGACCCTGGACAGCAGTTTGATGCCATGCATGGGTGCAGGAGTTGGGGCACTGCTCCCTTAATTCCCTTGAAAATCCAAAGGAAAAGTACAAATGAATAACACTGTAAAATGACATTAAGGCCCCTTTGGAGAGCAGCTGCCCACCCCCCATGCTGCTAACTGATAATGGCCACCCCTCATCAAATATTTATTCCAGCCCTTGTGGTCGTCCATCAGCCTCCAGCATCATGCCAGGGATGGAATCTGATTATTAAAAATGGTCAGGAGCGAGGCAGGCAGACTACAAAGTGCTTGGGATGGAAAGGAGGGAACATCAAAGCCCTATATTCTTCCTTAAAGGTCGTCTCCGGAAGCAGAGGCCTCCTGTTAGGCAATCAAACTCGCAGGGATTCAAGGACCTGGCCCCTGCGTGCTTCCCAGCCTCTTGCTCCTTTCTTTTCTCGCCAGTGGGCCAGAAGGGAGTGAAGCCAGAGCCTGACTCTGAGCCATGGGTTTATGAAAAGCAAGAAATACGCTGCCCCATGCAGACATGTGACTGCCTTCACTTTTGAGGGGGGTCCTGGCATTTCATTAGTGCCCTGTTTGAAGCCTGCCCTTTGCAAAGCAGAAAATGAAGAGAAGAAAGTAAGTACGGAGGCTGATTCAAACAATCTTCTGGTATCTTGAGTTTGTGATATCCCTTTGTGTGGCTTCACTTATTACATGGGTGGAAGAGCCTGTCAGGCAAGAAATCATGCCTGGTGTTTACACTTTAATGGAACCCAGGGACCAATTAACCACACTAAGTGCCAACGGGCAAAGCATTTCTTAAAGGAATAGGAGGGAACTCTTATATTATCGTTCCATTTCCCTCCTCTTTTCCCAAATAAAAGACAGATGCTATGTCAACAGTCTCTCAAGAGTGATCTTTTATTTTCTGAAAGTCCTAAAACTGACCCATTTATCAAAACATGACTGATGTCTCAGCCTACAAACAATATCCTTTTCTCCCTCACAAATCCTGGAGCCCCGAGAGGCTGCAGCCTGGTCCAAGCAGTGCCATCAAAATCTGCCCTCCACTCTCAGCAGCTGCACGGCGGCCTCCTGCACAGCCTGGTGGACACGCCTGACCTCTCTCTGGGACAAGGTCCTCTCCATGTGGCGGTAGGTGATGCGGTAGCAGTGGCTTGTCTTGTGTGTCCTGGAGAATGGAAGAGAAAGGCAGGTAAGTGAGGGACAGACGTGCCTGCCGCCTGTAGGAACGGTGTTGCCGGCTCTGACCAGATCAACCCCAGAGGAGAATAGGATGGGATCCGGGGCCTACTGGCATGGTGTGACAGAGACATCACCATCACTAACAGCCTGCACCTCTTACAGGCTTCCTGAGAGGTGGTGGTTGGGAGACCACTGACTTGAATAATCAAGAATGCTGGTTCCCACTGGACTAGCTGCATTCAAGTTCCCTGGGCAGGATGTTTCTTACAAGTCTGATTTCCTGGGCCAAGCCCTGGATAGGTGGGATGTGGGCTCTGGGTTTCTGGGCTTTTTATCAATTCCTCAGGGGACTCTGCTAAGCAGAGATGGTCAGGAGCCAAGGCCAGCAAGCCTCCACCTTTCTCACGTCACAGAAAACATATTTGGAAGGCACACTGCAGTCACAAGGCCGGGATTGGCTCTGGGGGCTCTAGCCACCTAAAAGGCTGAGCGGTATCACTCTGTTTGCACCTCTAACAGGCCATGGAAAGCATAGAGACAATTGTGCCATACAGACATGCTTCCGAGTTCCAGGTAGTGGGGCCTTTTGCAGAACTTAGTCTTCACAGAGACACGTGAAGCCACAGCTCCTGGTGTGGCTGCTCTGTGAACATGCTTCTCCACAGGTGTGCCTGTGTGTTTCAGGTATATTTGGACAGGCCTTCCATTGCTGCTGGAAAGGCAAGGCCTGCCCTGCTGGGGTCCTTAAGAAGCATTCCACTGCAAAAGTACAGCCCAACTGTGCCCAGTGGCACTGGGCCTCTTGTGGCCACTGGAAAGACTCCACACTGCCTCCCCCAGGTGCAGAAGACAGGCCTTTTTTTCAATTTGACATCATCAAGGAAGGAGGCTGCAACATCCTGAGTTTCTGAGAGATGGAAGATTCTAGAGGAGGAAAAATTAGTTAAGGAGTGAGAAGGAGGGCATAGGAATCATAGATGCTTGAAGATGATGCCAACATTTACTAAAACAAGTGTGGTGATAGGATCTGGGGGCCCAGGTTGTCAGTGACCTGGTGATGGGTGTGATGGTTTCCTGCGGGTGGGGGGCACAGCCAATGTCAAGTTACGCCCACTGCAGGGGACACCTCCACTAGCCTCCTAATTCCCTGTGCCAGTGAGGGAGACAGAGGCCCCCTGCAAGTCAGTGGCAGCTGGGCCACGACACACCTTTCCTGGGTCTCAGTTTCTCCTCTGTTGAAAGAGGTTAACAGCATAGCACTTACACCATCAACCTTTCCAATCTGTTGCAAAGACCTAGTCAGAAAGGGACAGGGCTCTGCAAATTATGAAGAACTTGAGTGTGAGGCAAAAGTATCCTTGTGGCAACTGTTGGTATGTGCTTTCGTTGGTTCACTCAGGCATCTCTTACTTAGCTGAAGAGTTCGTAATATGGCCACTCTGCATGCTGGGATGCCCAACCAAAGATGAATGGGAAAAATTTATCATCTTGTCTCTATATGCTTCCCAGAAGGCCCCAAGAAGGATTCCTGGGATTCAAACAGCTTTTATAAAACATTTTGATGAGTGAGGTGTAAATGAATCATAAACATATGGATTAATTTTATAATTTGAGAGAAATAAAATTTGGCAGAATATTTGGTGATAATTCAGTAGCTTCAACTGAAAATCAACCAGCTTTGCCTTTTCCTAACATCACTGGGGAGAGAAAGAAGACTTACTTTTGTTTTCTAGAAACTTCTTTTTGAAGATTTTAGTTGGTAGGACATACTCCTGTCCTCATTTGCTTGTTGGAGGACTGAAAGCAGTGGAGCTGGCAATTGGTCATGAGTCTCCTCATCCTTGAGGAGGGGGTTGTCCCCGAGAACTACAGGGTCACAGACCTGAAGGGTCTCATGGCTCGTCACTGACCAGGTTAAGACGATGGATTTCTCAAGAGGAGGGATGCCCTCAGTGCCCAACTCCAAGTATCTGAATTAGAGCTCTTTTGATTCTTTCATACCACCCAATGTGGCCTTTTTGTGGTCAAAAAGCTTCTCAACCTTTTATCTGCCATGACCCTCACTGTCACTCAATGAGAGCAGCGTTGATATAGTGCTTCTTATGTACCAGGAACCACCGTAAGCCCTTTGCAGGCATTAACTCATGTAAGCATCAAAACCCCACTGAGTTCCTAGCACTCTTGTCCTGGTTATAAAAATAAGGAAACTGAGGCACAGAGAGCAAAATAACTTGCCCAAGTTCACACAGCTACTAAGTGGCAGGGCTGGATTTGAAACCAGGCCATCTGGAGGGAATGCAATCGTGCAGCCACTGTGGAAAACAGCTTGGTGGGTCCTCAAAGAGTTAAACATGGAATTACCATATGAGCCAGCCATTCTACTCCTAGGTATATACACCCCAAAGAACTGAAAGCATGTATTCAAACAAAGACCTGTACGAAAATTTTCATAGCCAAACAGTGAATATGGCCGTCAATGGATTAATAGATAAACAAAATATGGTATAGCCATATGGTGGACCTGTACAATGGAATATTATTTAGTCATTGAAGGAATGAATTAATGATACATGCTGCAATGTGGATAAACCCCCAAAACATGCTAAGTGAAAGAAGCCAGACACAGCAGATCACATACTGCATGATTTCATTCACATGATATATCCAGAATAGGGAAATCCGTATGATAGAAAGCAGACTGGCGGTTGCCAGAGGGTGGGGGAAGGAGGTACAGGTAGAAACCGCTTAATGGTGTGAAAATTAATAAAGGGGACTGGGATGCTAGAAGGGGAGCCTACAAGGGAGAGCCCTTCCACTCAATGTCAATTACAAGAAGAATTGTCAACTACAGACTCCAACGGAAGTGTCAGTTACAGACCTCAACAGAAGAGTCTCAACAGGAAGCAATTGTCAATTACAGGTCCCAACAGGGAAGGATGTACACTGCATCTCCTACAGGAGATCAACCACCCCTGCAACACAGCCAGTGAGAAACCACCATCACCCTGAACTCCTGCTTCTCTGCAACTAACTTTTGTCCAAAACAACCCCTCTCGACTTCCTCCTTCTCTATAAAATAATATTCTTCGCTTGTGTTTGTTAGATTTGCCTATGATTGTGCTGTAGCTGGCTTGTTCCAGATTGTAATTCTCTGTTATTTCCAAATAAGCGCATCTTTTGCTGGTAAGATAACTGGCAGTGTGAAGGTTAACATTAGGCACAAGGTTTTCTTTTGGGGTGAAGAAAATGCTTTGGAACTAGGTAGGTAGTGTGGCTGCGTAACATCGAGAATGTCCTAACTGCCAATGACCCTCCCACTTCAAAAATGGTTAATTTTCAATGTTTATTTATTTTTGAGAGACAGAGGCAGAGCATGAGTGGGGGAGGGGCAGAGAGAGAGAGACACACAGAATCCGAAGCAGGGTCCAGGCTCTGAGCTGTCAGCACAGAGCCCGACATGGGGCTCGAACCCACGAACCACGAGATCATGACCTGAGCCGAAGTCGGACGCTTAACCAACTGAGCCACTCGGGCGCCCCAAAAATGGTTAATTTTCACCTCATTACAAATACACACAAGGAAACTAGGCAGTTTGGTTTCAGAGCCCAATATTAGCTACCATGCCTGAGCACTCCACCACACTCCTCCTTGTCTTCTTTTCCCTTCTCCAGCCTCTTCCTTCTACCCTAACTTTTCCTAAGAAGTGACAAGGCTTGCAAGCTATTGAGAAGGGAATTGCCCTTAATCTTTCTATTCAAGAGATGGAGTAAGCCCATGTTCCTTTCTAGCTCTGCTCTTTGACTAACAAGCCAGACATGAGGCGTAACTGTGACATAGAGTGGGAATCCCTGGAACATGGATGCTTTTTAAGAGGTCTTTCCCATATATACAATGGAGTATTACTTGACAGTCAAAAAGACTGAAATCTTGTCATTTGCAACTCTGTCGATGGAACTAGAGGGTATTATGCTAAGCAAAATTAGAGAAAGACAAATATCATATGACTTCACTCATATGAGGACTTTAAGATACAAAACAGATGAATGTAAGGGAAGGAAGGCAAAAATAATATAAAAACAGGAAGGGGAACAAAACATAAGAGACTTAAATATGGATAACAAACAGAGGGTTACTGGAGGGGTTGTGGGAGGGGGGGTGGGCTAAATGGGTAAGGGGAATTAAGGAATCTACTCCTGAAATCATTGTTTCACTATATGCTAACTAATTTGGATGTAAATTTTAAAAAATAAAAAATAAAATTAAAAACAATAAAAAAAATTTAAAAAAAAAAAGGTCTTTCCTGCTTATTATGGGGCCATTAAAAGGCATGTTGCAAAGCCAAACAGCTGGTGGGAAATTAAGAGGGCTTGCAGGGAGAGCATAAAAGGGGGGTTGGGGAGGGGTGCAGTCGCAGCTCCTGTCCACACACAGTTGGCTGGGCAGAGTGAAGCTGCCAAAGCCTCTCCCCCAGACTCACGTGGGCACAGCCTTCAGACAAGAAACCTTCCTGGAAAGAGAGAAGAGACTACATTGACAATTCTCTCTTCTGTACCTGATAGCTTCTAGTCATAGGCAGAAGAAATGAGAATATCCCTTATGGAGTTTGTGAGGGCAAATTTCCTTACAGTAAGTCTGAAGAAGAGTCTAAACATTTCTTTTGGTGCTGGAATTTCACTGCATTAGGATATTGGCGGAAACGAGTTGGCCACTGGTTGGAGCTTGGATTTTTAACAGAGACTTTGTATTGAGAACCCGAGAATGTTTGAGCTTCAAGGGCTTATCACTCGTCTAACTCAGAGACTGATTCAGTTCTTGAACAGACAGCGCGTTCCAGGCACTGAGCTGGACAGAGGTAAGCGAGTGAGGGGAGTCCCGACCCAACAGGTTCACATATGGGGACCAGAGGTCTGCAGAGGTCCTGCAGCAACCCGGGAGGAGCCCAAGTGGAGGACTGTTCCCCTTGTCTCCGTGATGGGGCTGGTGCTG